TATATATATATATATATATATATATATATATATATGTATGTATGTATAGTGCATAATTTGTGAATCGCAAGGTCCTGGAACAGATCCGGGTAATGGATCCGGCATGTTACCTGAGGATTGAGAGGTGTCGTGCACAAAAGTTGAGAGCGGGGGTGGATGGGTGTAGGGTTTTCGCGGACAAAAGTGAAGAGGGTATGGGAGCCGTGGAAGAAAGTGAAAGTGAACAGGGAGAAGGTTGGTTGAGTTAGACCGGTAAAATGAGGTGCAAATTAAGCTTTATATATATATATATATATATTGTGCTTCCCACACATAGACTTTACTTAGGCGGGGGGCCCAGGTATATTAACGGCCACCCAAATATATTTAGTGACACCTTTTTTTTTTGTTTTTTGTTTTTTGTTTTATTAACATCCTTTTACATTTTTTGTATCCATCCAATAAAACCAAACATCTGCGATCAACTAAGTAGTGGAGAATCTTCTCTTGTTTACGCGTTTTGGTCTGTATGCACGAGACCTGTCACCACTTCCAAAGACACTGGCAAAAGAATCTCACGTACTCTGCAGACCCAAAGAGACGCGCCTTTTTGAGATTTAAAAAATTGCTTTGGCCGCGGTTTTAAAATCCCCTACAATGTCCAGGATTCGGCTTTCGTTTTCTAAAACTGTCATTTAATAAACATGTTTTTGAATTACCTTTTTACTTAAGCCTTCTTTTGCTTGGCTTTGCAGCTGGCAGCATAAGCACAGTCGTGAGAGTAAGAGAAACATTAAATAATTAATTCTAAATTACTCTGTAAAACTTTATTATATACTTGCAGAGGACAAAATGACTGGTCTTAGCAGGCTGCAAAATATATATGCACCATTAGTAATGGTTAATCAACGCATTTCCCTTATTTAATTTTTTTTTTAAATTAGAAACATTGTCAGTTTTTTTTTAATCCATTTTCTGCATTTATTTCTTATTTACTGTATATTTTATTAATTTGATGATGTTAATATTGAGAGAGAAGCAGATTTGACCTGTCAGTGGGTGCACACGGCTCCTGAATAGTATAAAAGGAAGACAAATAGTGGATTTTTTTTTATTTCAACAGTTTTTTTATTATTATTTTTTTTACTTTAACCTATTTAAAGCAGCGGTGTATAACAGTTTCATAACAAATTATTACTAGTAAAAAACAACAAAAAACTAATTGGACTAGAATGTTGAAAAAAACATTTTGTTAATACTTTTTTTTCTAAAAAAGTCACTATTCTGAAAGTTGAATGAGATTCTAATCAGTTAGCAAATTGCAATCTACATTGCAGTTATTGGCTTCCCATTACAAAAGATCATTATGAATATGAAAATTGTCTGTCGTAACAAAGAGCACAAAGCAAATTCATTCTCTTGTGGTTTACTCATTCCTCAGGGAAAGAAGAGAAGACACACTTGAAACAATGTGTGTAATAATTTCATCAGTATATTTGGAGAAAAAAAGGGGGTACAGGAAAGACCAAAAGGGGAATAGTCAAATAAAGCTAAAAAAAGAGATGAGAAAGAAGGAATATTATCAGAAGTAAGAAGTGTCCGTAAGTACAAGAGGGAAAAAGAGGGCAGGAAAAGTGAGAGAACAGCAGGAAAGGCCTCTAACAAATCTGATCAAAAGCTCCTAAATCTCATGGGTCCCAGAAAGAAGGCAGGCGAGGCTGGAGTACATAACCGAGAAGCTGGAGACTGAAAAAGAGAAGGTTGAAAGAAGTAAAAGTGAAGCAGGAACAAAGCGAGGAGAAAATGAGGCTGGATGAAGAACCGCTTGCTAACGATCGACACTTTTCAGGCTTCAACAAGGGATGTTTTCTCTTTTAGTGCAGGGCTGGTTCCTGGGCAGAAATTTTTAAGGGTTTTTATGAAGAAAAACATTCTGGGAATATTTTAGCCTTATCTTATAAACAGGGTTCATGCCAAATGTGAATTTAAGTATTTGCGCAAGACGAGTAGCATAGAGTTAATACAAATTCCAAGCAAGCATGAAATTAGTGGCAAATTTGCGCCTCAAACATGTCTCCCACACAAGTAAAAATAAAATCAACTCAAGCAGAAAATTTAAGAGGCTAAAAACATCCTGACGCATCCTGACATTTACTGTATTTCCTTTGCATTTTGTTTAAAGTCAGCCATATGCTTATTAATCATTTATACTCTAAGAATTGTTCAATCTTTTTCTTTAAACGACATAAATATTACAAAATTGAATAATTTGTTTCTTTGTGTTTTTGAAAGTTTTCTCGTAAAAATGACCAAAATATAATTGTATTGTGCATGCCAGACCAGCAGGTGGCACTTAATAGCACACTACTTTCATTTACAAATACATTATAATAAAGTTGTTACTTAAAACAGTCTCAAATGATACCAATAATATTAATATATAATAATAATACTTACTTGTTTACTTACTCCCAGGGCCGTTTATATCGCAGTAGATATTTAGCAGCACTATGTTGGTGTTTCGTAACATGTAATTTTTACAAGGTGCGTCGTTAGCTCAATGCTCAACCCCCAACCTGGAGGACCAGGACATACACGCACACACTACAGATAATTTTAGCTTACCCAAATTACCTACTGTACCGTACTGTACTCATCTTTGTACTTGAGAACCGAAGCACCTGGAGGAAACACGGGGACAACATCGAAACAACCTCACAGAAATGACAACTGACTGAACTTGGGCTCAAACAAGCAACCTTCTTGCTGTGAGGTGACATCTTTACCCTCTAATAATAATAATAATAATAATAATAATAATAATAATCTAAACTTGGTTAAACACTAAAACACATGTTTTGAGCTATTGTCGTCCATGTGTCCCACACTGCTAAAAACACAATTAGGACACACATATTTCATTAAAAAGTGAAAATTGGTTGTTTTTGCGTTATTTCGAGCAAATTCGTACTTCC